AGCTTTGTAGTATAACTTGAAATCCAGGATTATAATGCCTCCTGCTTTGTTCTTGTTCCCCAGGCTTGGTTTTGCTCTTCTGGGTCCCTTCTGGTTACATATGAATTTTAGGATTGTTTTCTCCAGTTCTGTGAAGAATGCTGTTGGTATTTTTATTGGTATTACATTAAATCTCTATGTCAATTTTTGAAATATGGCCATTTTAACTATATTGATTCTTCCTATCCAGAAACAGGGGCTGTCTTTCCATTTTCTGAAGTCCTCTTCAACTTCTTATTTTCAGCATACTGTAGTTTTTATTGTAAAAGTCTTTTAATTCCTTGGTTGAGTTAATTCCTAAATATTTAATTTTTCTTGATGCTATTATGAATGAGATCATTTTCCTAATTTCTTTCTCAGTGAGTTCATTACTGGTGTACAGAGTGCTCTTGATTTTTGTGCATTGGTTTTGTGTCTTGCTACACTACTGATTTGGTTATTAATTCTAGGAGTCCTCTGATGGAATTTTTTGGGGTCTTTTATGTAGAGGATCATGTTATCTAAAAATAATGATAATTTGAATTCTTCTTTTCATATACATATCCTTTTCTTTCTTTCTTTTGATGATTTGTTTGGCTAATATCCTTGATCATGTTTGTAGATGTAAAAGCAAACAGAATCTCTGATCTGTGCTGGATGAAGGCAGAAGGATAAGGGTTCAAGCAGACTATTAGACTGACTGCCAGTCTATTGGACTGAATATTAGCACTTTCAGACCTAGCCACCTCTGAAAGTCACACACACTAGGCCTGGCTTGTCACCATGGAAGGTAAGACCCTGAGACCTTCCCAGCCTGTGCTTGAACTTTGCAGGGGATCTATGGTAGCCTATATTTTCTCTGCAACTGTCCTGTACGGCTGTCTCTCATATAGTCACTGTGGGAGGGTTACACCTGAAACCCTGAAGTGAAATTGTTCTGCAGTTGTTCTGTGGCTTAGTCTTAAATAATCAACCCCTAAGTAAAATGGTGCCTGATTAAATACTCTCAGGCAATTTGGCTTGAATTTTTTTTTTTTTTTTTTTTTTTGGTACCGGGGATCGAACTCGGGTCCTTGCAATTGCAAAGCAGGGGGTGAACCACTGAGCTAAATGCCCAGCCTCTCAGCCAATTTGTCAAGAACTGCACTAGATATTTTCTCCAACCATAACCTGCTGTGAGGAAGGAGTCACTTTTGGAGCAAACCTCATGCTGTTTTTGCAGTTTACAATACCTGTGTGTTTTTGGGGGGGCTAGCACTGTTGGTCCAGTCTATTTTTCTCCCTGGAGCATACAAACCTAGGAACATACCTCAGGTATAAAGACACAAGTTCCCTCCCCAGGAGCTTGGATGAGCTTCCAGACTACTTTGTTGTTTTCTATGTGTTGTGCTTTATTTCTCCAGCTTCTCTGCCATTTCTAATTTTCCTGTCCTCTCCCAATTCCCAGAGGTCAACTTTTTTTTTCTTCACCAAATTGTTATTTCCAGGTCTGGATTCCAAGTCCTAAAGAAGCTATATCTTGCTGCTGATTGCTATTTTGCCACTTTGGTTACCTAATACCACATTTTAATAGTGTAAAGACTATACAGACAAATAGTTAATAAGGAAACAGTAGACTTGAACAAAATGTAGACCAAGTGAACCTAATAAACATGTACAGAGTATTCCACCCAACAGCAGCAGAAGACACTTTTCAAGTGCTCATTTTTTCTTCAGAGCTGATCACGTTAGGTCATACAACAAGTCTTAACAAATTTAAAAAGACAGAAATCATACCAACTATCTTTTATGACAAAATTGCATAAAGAAAATGTGGTATATATACACAATGGACCACTACTCAGCCATAAAATATGATAAATTTGAGTTATTTGTAGAAAAATGGATGCACCTTGAGTCCATAATGCTAAGTGAAATAAATTAGACATGGAAGGTTAAATGTTGCAAGTTACTCTTACATGAGAAACCCAAAGTATAAATAATATAAAGAATAAAACGAAAGATGATATGAATGGGAAGATAGATTTTGTAGAAATGGGAAGGCGATCTAGGGATGTGAGGAGACAAGATGAAGGGAAGGGGAAGTGAAAAGGATCAAGAATATATATATATCTGAACTCCTCATAATGAATATACTAATTATGTATCACAAACATATGCTAACAGACTAGAAATCAATAACAGAGGAAAACTGAAAAATTCATAAATATACGGAAATTAACAACAGCCAATGTGTAAAATAGAATATTAGAAAATGAATCTTGAGACAAGTGAAGACGAAAATACAGTTTATCAGGAGATGCAGCACAAAGCAGTAGTAAGAGGAAAGTCTATAGTAATAAGTGCCTGTGTCCAAAAAGAACAATTTCAAATCAACAACTTTACACCCCAAGGAACTAGAAAAAGAACAAACTACATGCAAATTTAGGAGTAAGGAAATAAAGATTTGAGTATAAATAAATGAAATAGAGAAAAGAAAAACAACAGAAAAAAATCAACATAGTTAAGGTTTTTTTAATACAAAATTGACAAACTTTTAGTTACACTAATTAAAAACAAGAGAAAACTCAAATAAATCAGAAATGGAGGAGGAGGCATTACAACTGATTCTACAGAAAAGGATCATGAGATTATCATTATGGTTTGGATCCATAACTCCAAAATTTCATGTGTTCAGAGGTAGGACTTTTGGAAGGTGATTGGATTGTCTTGGGGGCACTATATGCATCAGTGCATTAATCTTCTGATGAATCCATAACTAAATGTGTTGTTAAGAGTTAGGGCTTGGTCAGAGAAGGCAGGTCACTGGGGATGTGACCTTGGAGGGTTCTCCCTTCACTCTCTGCTTTCTGGCTGCGGTGGTGTGAGTGAGCAGCTTTCCTGTGCCAGACCCTTCACTCTCTGCTTTCTGGCTGCGGTGATGTGAGTGAGCAGCTTTCCTGTGCCAGACCCTTCCACCATTCCCTTCCTGCCTTGAAGCCAGCTGACAATGGATTGAATCCTGTAAAAACCATGAGCCAAAATAAACTTCTCCTCATTGTAGCTGTCAAATAATGTGTCTCAGTAACAAGGAAAGCAACTAATACAGATATGGACCATTTATGCCAACAGACTGAGCAACTTTTCTTTTTTTTGTTCTTTTTTTTTTTTTTTTTTTTTTTTTTTTTTTTTTTGGTACCGGGGATTGAACTCGGGTCCCTGCGCTTGCAAGGCAGGCCACTGAACCGTGGAGCTAAATCCCCGGCCCATGAGCAACTTTAAAAAATGGAAGAAGTTCCTAGAAACATAAAAATCTACCAAGGCAGAACCATAAGGAAATAAAATATTTGAACAAATCTTTAAATACCAGTGAGGAGATTGAATCAGTAATCAAAACCTTGTTATAATTTAGATCTAAGATGTCCCATAAAAGTTTTATATGTTCAGAGATAGGGCTTTTGGAAGGTGATTAGATCATGAGGGTTCTATACAAAATGTGTTGTGAGGCCTGATTGGACAAGGTGGGTCATTGAAGGTAGTATCTGGAAGGATGCATTCTTGTTCCTGGCTCTTCCTGCAACCACCACCATGAGGTAAAAAGCTTTCCTCTGCCATGCCCTTCTGCCATGATACTTCTACCTTAGAACTAGCTGATTATGGACTGAAACCTTTGAAACCATGAGCCAAATAAATCTTCCTTTAAATTCTATATGTCAGGTATATTGTACCAACAAAAGAAAGCTGAATAATACAAACCTCCAACAAAGAAAAGCCCAGGACCAGCTGGCCTCAAGGGTGAATTCTATCAAACATTTGAAAAAGAACTAAGACCAATTCCTCTCAAAATCTTCCAAAAAATTGAAAAGAAAGGAACATTCCCAAATTAACTCATTGTATGACACCAGCATTGCCTTGATACCAAAGCCAGATGTAGGTACTACCAAAAAAAAGAAAAAGAAAAGACTTACAAGTTAATATTCCAAATGAATGCAAATATCTTCCACAAAATTCTAGCAAACTGAATTCAACAGTATATTAAAAAGATTAATCACTTATCAAATGGTATATATTTCCAGTATGTAAGGATGTTCAACGCAGACAAATCAATTCACCTCCAGCAGCACAAAAAATAAAATGAAAAAATCCATTAACATGTTATACCACAATGAAACATGAAGATTAAAAATAATACCACTTCAAGAGATGCAGAAAAAACATTTGGCAAAATTCAACACCCTTTGATGACAACTAGGAATAAAAGAAATTACCTCAACATAACAAGTGTCATACATGAAAAATCCCACAATTGACATATTCAATGGTTTAAAAAAAGCTGGCAACTTTTCCTTTAAGATCAGGAATAAGATGAGAATACTTACTCTTGCCACTTCTATTCACCATAGCACTGGAAGTTCTAGCCAAAGCAATTGAGGAAAAAAAGAAGTAAAAGCCATCCATGAAGGAAATGAAGAAATAAAATTATCTGTCTTTGCAGATGACATGATATCAGATGTAGAAAACCCCACTTTCCATATATCCTCTAAAAACCTGTAAGAACTAATAAATTCTGTATTTTCAAAATACAAAATCAATGCACAAAAACAGTTCTGTTTCCATATAATAATAAAGTAAAATTTTAAAAATGCCATTTACAATAGCATCGGAAAGAATAAAATAGGAATAAATTTAACTAAGGAGGAAAAAATCTTTTACACAGGAAACTATAAAATAAAGAAGACACAAATAAATGGAAAATGTACCAATAAACTCAATGAGAAAAAAAAAGAAATAAATTACTGATGCAGACTAAAGAACACACGATTTCGCGGGTTGGCTGTGTAACCACACTGGCATGGATCAGCAAAAACAACTTTGCTGCAAACTGAGAAACAGAGACCAGACCTGTATCGAGAGAGCCTTGTACAGTTGAAGGTAGTGGTGAAAGCACGAGACAACATTCCCCTAACGTCACCCAGAAACAGTGGCTGGTAAGTGAAGCTTACATGGACAGGCATCTGGCATATGTGGCCGCCATTTTGTGCAGAGAGGCTCGCGCTTGCACTACGTCAGCAGAACTGTTACTTTCTTTCAGAGTCGCTTTGCTGACCTGCAAGAAAGAAGGAAAAGGCCATCCAGTCACGGTAGACTACCGGCAATGGTCAGCAGATTGAGGGAATTTATGTTGAGAAATAGGGACCAGGATCAGCCAAACTCTACTCCCAAGACTACATGGGGCTGATTCGCCCTGACTACAAAGGACTGGGAGGCATCCCCTCTGCTTTGGGACTAGAGATGCAGGCAGGCAAGCAGCTTTGGCCAGTGATTAGGAGACACTACCCCGCACCACCCCACCCCACTCCAACCCACAAGCGCGCACTGCAGTGGACACAAACAATCAAAAAACCCTAGCCAGTGGCAGGACGAAGGTACCCACCCCACCCCCACGCCCGGACCATAATGGGTCTGGGAGAGGCCAACTGCTCACCGACCTGGAGATAACCTTGGACTGGTTCCAGCAGAGAGTGCCACAGCAGCTGAGAGAGCGGTATGGACAGGATCCTAGTGAAGAGACTTGGGCAAGAGACATCTGGAAGGCCCCAGCTCTGTCCTCCGGAAGCCAGAAACAGCCTTGTGTTCAGCACTGATCTTACTACAGATCTGGCAGGCCTGTACAGTGCATTTATGGGCTCTGTCTTAGACACTAACACAGAACTGTGTACTCGAGAAATTTTAATATTTTTATTATCTTTTTTTTTTCTTGTTTGATTCATTTTGCTTTTTTGGTCTGGTTGGGTTTTTTCTTTATTATTTGTTTGGGGTTTTTTTTTTTGTTTTTTGTTTTGTTTTTAGGTTTTATACCTTTATTCTGGTTTTGTTCTATTTGTCTTCTTTCTCTCTTTTCTCAACTGTTTAGATTTTATGATATTTTCATGTGAGTACACAGTGTCCCTTGTCTTTCTGGTTCACTTCAATATTCCTTTGCTTCCTCCCTCATGCTTTCTCTCCTGTCCTCTTCTCCTGTATCCCAAAGATTGGGTGTTCATCCTTTGCCCTCCAGCTTTGATTCTAGTATACTTTTCTCACTTATCTCTCTGTTCTGTGCCCTATCCCTCCTAAATTTCCCTCACAAAGGATAAAAATCACTCTACTGCATGGAAATTCATTGCATACAAGCTCTTGGTTTATGTTGGACTTTGTTATACAATGGTAGAGCTTGCTCATACAGTGAAAGGTACCAAACTAATAGGAACCACAGTCTGTCAGTTTCTAGGCTGTTAGATGCTATTGACACTGCTAATTGTACTACTTTAGCCAGGATATCATATCTATTATAATAAATTGTTCTTCATTGTTGGTTTTTTTTTGGGGTTTTGTTTTTTTTTTATACCAGGGATTGAATTTGGGTCCTTGCGCTTGCAAGGCAGGCCACCAAACCGCTGAGCTAAATCCCTGGCCCTCCATTGTATGACACACTGTGATTGTCTGAGGTCACAACCACCACCATAGTCCAGTACCAAAGCACTAGGTGCTGAGCTAAGCTGATAGCAACCTCTCATCCTCAATAGATTGGGAAGGTAGGATAAACACAAAGACCAAGAACCACCTACACCTAGAAGACATCTTTGAGCAATAGGCATTCCCTAACCTTGATATTAGTGATAAAGCTATCTACCATAAGAAAACTACAAGCAACAACTCAGAAAACAAAAATTAAATTAAAAAATACAAAATAACAAAACACAGAAGCAAAATACAACCCCAGACATTCAGTCCACCCAGGACAAGGACAGGGAACAACAAGACGAAGGAAATTGGAAGCAATCTACCTGAACTTTCTGAAATGATAGCTGCAGCAAACAAATAGAAGAGTCTATAGAGAAAATAATCTTCCAGGTACAAAAAGAAATGACAGTCAGAATGAATGACATGCTCAACAAATCTAGAGCAGACACAGACATTAAAAAAAAAAAAAAAAAAAAAAAAAACGACAAGAAAAAAAAAAAAAAAAAAAAAAAAAGAGGAGCTTAGGAAAATAATGGAAACCATGAATGCCCAACAACAGGAAAGAAATGTAAACCATGAAACAGATTCAAACTGATATGCAAGAGATTAAAAACTCCACTGAAAGTATACACAGTTGTTTAAACCAAGGTAAGGACAGAATTTCAGATCTAGAAGACATGATTGCAGTTGCCAACCCTGAAAAGAAAGATATCTTTAAAACAGCAAGAAGCCATTAAAAAGCAATCCAACAACTTCAAGAGGATGCAAAGAAAAGCAATATAAGATTGATTGGTGTCAATGAAAAAGCAAGAGACAGTGCAAATGCCATAAAAAAACCTGTTCACAAATGTAATGGCAGAAAACTTCCCAAACATGAAAAAAAGAATTTGACATACAAATAAATACATATAGAACTCCAAATACACATAACCAAAATAAATGTAGACCAACTCATATAATAATCAATATCCTAGAAATTCAGCACAATAACAGAATACTAAAAGCTGTTAGAGAAAAGAAACAAATCACCTATAAAGAAAGCCCATCAGAATCAGACTTCTCAACACAAACCATTAAGACAAGGACAGCACAGAATGAAGTATTTCAAGCTCTAAAAGAAAACAATCTCCAATGCAGATTGATGTACCCCACAAAACTATTTTTCAAATTCATTGGAGAAATAAGATAATTTCATGACAAAGAGCAACTGAAAAAATTCACAAAGCAGCTCTGCAAAGTATTCTGAAGGACATTTTATTTTATTTTATTTGGTACCTGTGATCAAACTAGGGTCCTTGCACTTGTGAGGCAGTTTGGTGGCACCACTGAGCTAAATCCCCGCCCAATGAAAGGCATTTTAGAAAGAGATAATGAAAACCACAAATCCAAGAACAGTAAGAAGCCATCAGGCATGGCAAGCAATAAACAGAGAGGAAAGATAAGGAACCAATAGCAGGAAAATAATATGACAAGGATAAGCTGATATATATTAGTTATAACCATCAATGTAAATGGTCTCAATTCACTAATCAAACCAGACTGGTGGAATGGATCAAAAAATAAGATCCAACAGTATGATGCATAAAAGAAACATTTAACTCAAAAAGAACTTCATAGACTGAAAGTCAAAGGATGGAAAGCAATATTCCATGTGACAGGAACCTGGAAAAAAACAGGGGTTCTATTTGCAGACAAAGTGGTTTTCATGCCAAAACTGGTCAAGAGTGACAAATAAGGTCACTACACACTTATTAAGAGAAAACTACAAGAAGAAGAGATAAGTTATAAATATATATGCACTAAATATTGGTGCACCCAAATATATAAAGTAAATATTAATGGACATGAGAAACCTAATGAGCACAAACACAATTGTAATGGGGGACCTTAATGCCCCACTGTCATAAATAAACAGATCATCTAGACCAAAAAAAAAAAAAAAACAACAAAGAAATATCAGCACTGAACCAAACTTGTAAACAAATGGACTTACTTAGTGAATGTCTACAGAGTATTCTACCCCAAAATGTCAGAATACACATTCTTCTCAACTGGTTCACTCTCCAATATAGACCACATACTAGCTCATAGAACATGCTTAACCAAATTCAAAGAAATTGAAATTTTCCCATGTATATTATCTATCTGACAATAGTGCAATAAGAATAGAAATTAGTGGTAAAAGAAAGTTCAAAACCCATAGATATATGGAAATTAAATAACACCCTCCTGAGCAACCAATGGGTAGAGATAAAATTGAAGAAGAAATTAAGCAGTATTTACAATTAAATGATAATGCCAACACAACATACTACAACTTATGGGACACAATAAAAGCAGTTCTAAGAGGGAAATTTATAACAGTGAACTCTCACATCAAGAAAACAGTGAATTCAAATAAACAACCTAATGTTGAATCTCAAACTTATAGAAAAAGAAGAACAAGTCAAGCCCAAAGTTCACATGAGGGAGGAAATTATAAAGATCAGAGTGGAAATTAATTCAATTGAGATTAAGAAATCAGTACAAAGAATCAATGAATTGAAGACTTGGGTTTTTTTGAAAGATTAAATAAAATTAACAAAACCTTATCCAATCTTACTAAAAAGAAAAAGGAAAGAGAAGACTCAAATTTATGCAATTAGGAATGAAAAGGGTGAAATCACAATGGATCATGTGGAAATCCAGAAGATCATCAGTATCTACTTTGAGAACCTATACTCTAATAAGATGGATAAGTTGAATCAAGAAGATATAAAAATTTTAACTAACCCAATATCAGTCAAGGAAATTGAAAACTTACTAACAAGGCCCAGGTCTTGATGGCTTTACTGCTGAATTCCACAAGAAATACAGAGATCTACAACCAGTTATCTTCAAACTCTTTGATAAAATAGGAAGGGAATCAGTAATACCAAAATCCTTCCTGGAAGCAAGTATTACCCTGATACCAAAGCCAGAGAGACCCAACCAAAAAAGAAAACTACAGGCCAATCTCCCTAATGAACATAGATGCAAAAATCCTCAATAAAATACTGGCAAAAAGTATGCAACAAATCATCAAGAAGATTATACATCATGATCAAGTAAGATTTCACCACAGGGATACCATCCAACATATCAAATCAATAAATATAATACATCATATCAATAGAACTAAAGACAAAAGTCACATGATATCTCAGTAGACACAAAAAAGGCATTTGACAAGGTCACCATCCTTGTTCAACATAGTTCTAGAAACATTAGCCCGAGCAATTAGATAATAAAAAGTAAAAAAAATAAAGATAGGAAAGGAAGAAATTAAATTATCATTATTTGTAGATGACATGATTTCTACATAGAAGACCCCAGAAACTCCACCAAAAGACTACTAGATTTAATAACCAAATTCAGTTCATAACAATACGAAGTCAACAGTCAAAAATCAATACTACTTCTGTACACAAACTCACTGAGAAAGAAATTAGGGAAACAATACTTTTCACAATAGCATTGAAAAAAATGAAATACTTAAGAATCAATCTAACAAAAAAAGTAAAGAACCTGCACATTGAAAATTACAGTACTCTGCAAAAGGAGATTAAAGCAGATATTCATAAATGGAAAGATATCCCTTGCTCTCGAGTAGGAAGAACCTACTAGTGAAAATGGCCATACTCCCAAAATTGATATACAGATTTAATGCAATGCCAATCAAAATAACCACTAGCATACCTCCCAGAACTAGAGAAAATATTCCGAAAATTCACTTGTAATCAGAAGAAATCTAGACTAGCAAAAACAATTCTAGGCAACAAAGGAAAGATAGGGAGCATCACAATCTCTGACTTGAAGTTATACTACACAGCTACTATGATAAAAATAGCACAGTACTGGCAAAAATAAAACACAAAAAAACAGATCTGCGGATCAATGGAACAGAAGAGGCAGAATCAACATGAAACTCACTCAGCCACCTTATCTTTGAGAAAGGGGGCCAAACACATTCACTGGAGGAAGGGTAGCCTCTGTAATAAGAGGTGGAAACACTGGCTTTTTACATGCCCAAAACTAAAACTAGACCTATGTCTCTCACTATGCACTAAACTGAAATAAAAATGAATCAAAGATCTAAACATTAAAACAGAATCACTAATTCCTCTGGAAGAGATAGATAGAGC